GTTGTCTATACTAATATTATAAAGTGGTAAAATTTCTAAGTTTGTATATAGGGAGTAATCTTTGGAACCTCTGGTCGGATTGCTAAAATTCTTTCACTGATGGATAGCTACAATGTTCCTGAGTGCTATAGGCTATAAAACAACACGCTACGATTAGAAACCGCGCGAGATTAGTTAGTTTTCAATGAAGCCAAAATAACTTGATAAATTCATTAAATGTATGACTGGATTAAACAAACATTACGCGTATGTTTTAGCTTTAAAGATCACATAAACATATCTTTAAAGTGTGTGAAAATAGCCCCTTTCCCTATAACATTAAAGTAAGTTTTACATTGCACATGTGCAACTCTACTAACCCCTTTTTTAGAAGAAACAGCTTCGGGCAGAAAATTATACTCATTGTATTTTTGGCATCAGTATCGATCACTTATCACCCCCTGGTAGTTACTATGAAAATATATTTCATGTACAGAATTGACCTCTCTACAGATTTATTATAAGTATAGATTTACAAACCCTGTCTACCTTCTGTCGGTATATAAATAACCATCTCAAAATGATAAGGTCTCTGACACTTACCTTACGTACCAATCCCTGTCAATTTCCGACTTGGAATTGCTAAAGATATTTGAGTTATCGATAGATAAGCTACCTGATTGCGTTACTAGACAGTTAAGAATATAACTGACGGTTAGGTCAACTAACTGACGTACTTTAACCTTTAACTGATAGTTCAAACATTAGTGCCCTTTAGTTTTAAGTAGGTTCTAGCTTGTAACTTTAGCCCTATACCTTTTCATCTTTATAATCCTGTTTTTACTCGACTACGGCAAACCGAAAGGAGGGTTATGATTTTGACAGGCTATGTTTGTATGTATGTTCATCTGTTCCCTCGTAACTTCTAAACTGCTTATCAGAATTCGACAAATGACATATCATTAGAAGCGTCTTAATTGTCCGCTGGTTACAGGCTCTTTTTTTGTTTTGTGAGGGCAAATCGTCAAATGACTTTACCGAAGGGAGTGTCAGACTCTTACTGACTAAAACCCCTGTTCCTTCTCCTGCTCTGGGCCTAGGTCGCGGTGCCTCTTTGCGCTTACTCCGCAACCCCGGTTGAACATCAGCCCTATAGGGCCCCGTCTGTGGTGGTCTATTGGAACGCTACGAGCCGTATGCTTGGGGTATCACAAATTCTTATTGAGGAATACTGAAAGGCGTATTCACACGTTACATATACCTACCTACCGTAGGACTTTGACAACGTGTAACTACGCCTTTCAGTATTTTGAAAATCTTGTTTTATACTTTTTCAGCGTCGTTTTTTGTCGTAGTTGGGTTTTAGTTTTTAAAATCATCATCATCAGCCTATAAGTGTCTACTGCTGAGCAAAGGCCTCTTCTCATACGGAGTAGGTTAGAGAGCCCGATGGACGGATTGCCAAAATTCTTTCACTGATAGATAGCTACTATGTTCCTGAGTGCTATAGGCTATAAAACATTACGCTACGATCAAATGGAGCCGAGCAGCGAGTGAAACCGCGTGAGAGTAGCTAGTTATGAATAAAAAGGACGAGTGACTTTGTTGTGATATTGCAAAACGTAAAATTCACAAAGAAATAATTAAATATTTGCCATAAATACATATGGTGCAATGATGCAAACCAATTAATGTGTTTGCTTAAGAATTAAGAAAATACACCATAATAAACTCGCGCAATAATTAAAAAAAACCATTGTCAACATTACAAATTCATTTCTAAATCACGAAACATTAAACACCAACCCCATTCTTGACGCGGGTATCACATGCCTACAACATCACAACCTCACCGACAGAAGTTATTTATTTTGCTGATTTCTCTCCTTTAAGAAAGCTCATGGATAATTAGGGGTAATACGATTATCAAGAGACTAGCTTCCGCTCGCGGCTTCGCACGCGATTAGAGTAATATTTTGCGGCATATTAAAAACAGCAGAGTTTAAAGCGATAGCTCGACTAAAATATCCAAACCAGTATAATTTATAGCTCTCAGGAACATTGTAGCTGTCAGTGAAAGAATTTTGGCAATCCGACCAGCGGTTCCAAAGATTACCCCCTACATACAAACTTACAAATTTAACCTCTTTATCATATTAGTATAGATTATGATTTACCTCGATACAGAAATCTAAAGGGCATTCATAACAAAAGAAAAATCAAATGATTCTTGGCTTAAAGAAAAATAAAATGCGTATCTATGATATACATTCGTTCTAAGACTATCAACTTGATTACCAATGGTAATTATATAGGTACTTACTTATAAAAGAAAAAAAACTACAATTCTTTTATAGAGAAAAACTACTGATACTTCTACGAAACAATAAGACAATGGTTCACACGTATTTAAAGAAAAAAAAAACATTTAATTAGACCGCGAATGACGTTTCCTTGAATAAACGTTGCATAGCAAAAAAAAAAAATCCAACATCCGGTTTGACGATGTTCACGTAAGTAGAGACGTATAAAAAAAGATATAAATAAAGAATCTGAGAAAAGTCTCTTCTTCTTCATCATCATCATCATCATCATCAGCCTATAAGTGCCCACTGTTGAGCAAAAGCCTCATCTCACTCGGAGAAGGTTAGAGCATCAATCACCACGCTTGCTCAATGCGGATTGGCGATTTCAAACTTACAATTAGAAATTATAAGTCCAGGTTTCCTCACGACGTTTACCTTTACCGTATGTCAGTGGTGTCTAAATAATCGTAGAAAGTACATTTAACTCGGAAAAAGTCGCATTGGTACTTGCCAGGTTTCGAACCCTCATGCATGAAAAGCGCCTTACCCTCAGGGCTACCACAACGTTTAATGCTCAAACCTTCTCCGTGTGAGAAGAGGCCTTTGCTCAGCAGTGGGCACTTATGTATGTGATGGCTTCGCCAATAGTGCCAGGGTATAACTATCCTATATATCATTCCAGACTACAATCTATCTCTGTGCCAAACTACATTCAGATCAGTTCAGTAAGTAGTTTCTTATTAAAAGTAATTAACATCTAAACGAGTCAGTTAATAATTTTAACTACCTTGTTAACATTTACGAAAACATTTTAATAATAATAATTATATTTAACTATGTCAAAATATAACTTATTAGTTAAATTCAGTAGTTGAGTACGAAGTTATTTAAAACCACGTTAACTTGTCGTGTTTTACAGTTAAAATAACAAATGTACATATTATAAACGTTATTTATTAACTGTAATTTACCGTAGACACTCCGTTAATCATAGATTTTGAATTAATATTAGTTAAATTGACAGTTTAATATTTACTGGTAACATCTTTACGGATGTATGTTTGTTACTCTCTCACGTAAACACTACTGAACGGATCTGAATGTAATTTGGCACAGAGATAGATTATAGTCTGGAATAACATATAGGACAATTTTTAAACTGGTAAAAACTAGTTGACGCATAGATGACAATATTTGCCGTAGAATGGTCACCCATCCTTACACGATGTTAGCAAAGCATTGCTTAACCCACACTAAGTTCTAAATTCCTTTTGATGCCAGTGACATTTATAACTAAAACCGGACTTAAGACCTTACTTTGTCGTAATTTTACGATAAGCAGTTGAAATGTTGAAAATTTACACTTTAACTGGGTACTTACATAGTTAGGCGAGGATTTAATTATTTTACTGTCATCTATAAAGCACGAAGTTTAGTTAACTTTTATTTGGGACTTTGATCATATAGTAGGGGAGGTTACTCGAGCGCGTCAGATTAACATATGGGGAATATTTAATAACCTATTGAATATATCCATTATATACTTAATGTAAACAGAGGAGGGGCCCGAAAAGTCCTAGAGTACTACCAAGGACCGGAAAACGTAGTGTGGGCAGGCCTCCCACTAGGTGGACCGACGAAATCGTCAGAGTCGCGGGGAGCCAATGGATGCAGGTGGCAACTTGTCGTTCGACGTGGAGAGCTAAGGGGGAAGCCTTAGTCCATCAGTGGACGTCCTCCGGCTGATGATGATGATGACGATGAAGACTTACAACCCATGTGCTTGTATCTGCGATTATACATAATAATGAAAAAAAGCAACGAAAAGTGCCTTCTTCATATTATGTGCACGAAATGGAATAAAAATAACAAAATTAATGAAATAATATCTGCATTAATATTCTTAGAAGTTTAATAATAAATATTTGAATAAGAAATTTTAATTTATACATTTTTGTGTCTAGTTGGTAAAAAGGTTACTTGTAGTCATCGACCGCTTTTTTTGTTTTTTATGATTAATAATGTTAATGTCAATTAATTCTCTCTATTTTGACTAGCTCTTTCTCTTTTGGTCTTTTTCTGTCGTATTTCAGTACATTTATATATTGATAAACAAATATAAAAGTCAAACTTTCAAAGTAATTATTACTAAGACTATTCCACTGTTCATCTGGATTATTTGTACTAATACTAAAAGCTGTTTGTTATTTTGTTTGAACGCGCTAATCTCAGGAATTAATGGTCCATTTATCGAGGAATGGTACAGGTTATAAACATCATGCTACGATCTGTAGGAACCGAGCAGCGAGTGAAATCGCGCGAGGGACTCTAGTTATCACATACATACATTATATATTTATAATTACAATTACCATTTATTTGTGATCTCCATCGATTAATGAGAACAGCAGTGTGATTCTGTAAGACTTCATTGTAAACTTGGAATCTGAATCCGCTGTGAGTATTAGTACACCAGCGCTACACTTGCGAGTTGAACTAAATTGACCGCAACATTTTGATAGATAAAGTATGAGATGACGTTAAAAGTGGCATTCTAAAATTTAATTTCCCCGTCAATGCGACGCTCACTTCGCACTCGAACACGATTCAAAATCAATCAAAATTTATAGAATCGACGTGCAGGTGCAGACAGTACCCTCTAAAATAAATATAACCCACGAAACAAATGAAAAGCAATGTTTTCTCTTGTTACAGAAACAATACTGCAACACCAGAACCGAAATCTGCTGCAGGATTGAAACCTCAGGAGCTGGTGTCCAAGGATCCCTCGGAGTAGGATCTGGTTCTTTCCAGGCTAGCCAAGGATCTGGGCTCTTCCAAGGTTCAAGCCAAGGCAGCCAATCCAGCTTCGGAGCTGGTTTCAACGCCAACAGAGGCAGTGGATTTGGAACCCAATTCGCATCAGGCGCTGGCTATAACAGCAACAAATTCGGAGCTACAGGATCAGGTTTTGGATCTGGCTTCAAATCGACCAGCCAATCCAACTTCGTAGAAACCGATTCCTTCTCTGCTGGTTCCGAAAACAGCGGTATCTACCGCCCAGGTGCCGTCGGCTCTGGACTTAAACCTGGTGTGCCATACTTGCCTCCTTTGGATACCTCCACCAGTGGATCCAACGTGGTTTCTACCGCTTACTCACCAGCTGTTGTCACCACTCCTCGTCCCTTCACCACTCCTCGCCCTGTGACCACTCCTAGGCCATACTCGACTCCTAAACCTTATGTGCCTTCAACAAAGGCTCCTGAGTACCTCCCTCCTATCGATGGAATCACTGGATCAGACAGCTTCCAGCAGCCTTCTTACATTGACGGACAACTGATCTTGGACGAGAACCTGCCAAGGCCTATCACTCCTGTTGTTATTGGTAAGTGCTTATTTTTTTTAAAGGTAGAGTGCAAACATAATTATTGTTACACGTATCGCTAAATCTATATGTATATTGATATCAAACATTTTAAAGCGCTATAGTGAATACAGCACTAAAAGATCAAACCAGTAGACCAAGTAGACCAGTAGACCTTGAGTAGACCAAGCTATATAACTTCATTTTTACCTCAGGTGATCTGCCCGCTGGTTGCGCCGCTGCCCTGAAGTGTACCCCCATCGAATACTGTACCGCTGAGGGAGTTATCTCCAACACCACCGTCGTTCTGACCAGAGACCAGGAAGCCTACAGAGTACCATTAACTGTAAGTAATATAACTTCAAATATTATCCTATCCATACTTACTTCGCCACTTGGTAAAGAACAAGAATTCAATAATAAATAATAAAAGTGGCGATCTAGACTTTCCTTAATTATTAAAGTTATTCCACAAACCCAATCATTTCTAAAAAGACCTGGAAATAATACTAAAATCTCAAACTAGGCATTTCTACCTAGATCCTAAAATTACTACTACAATTGTGACCCAAAACTGTGACAAAAAATATTTGGAACATGATTACTCATAACCCCCTTAAACCAGGTAATCCCAATCTCCAATAAACGCAATCCACAAAACCAAATCACAATACTCACCTTCCACCCTCAAACAGGACTGCAAGGACATTTCAACTGGTCGCGTCGGAAAGTGCTGCAGAGATCCCTTCTACACCGACCCTTGGCCAGTCAACCAAATCGGTCAATGGGTGCCCGGAGTCTTCGGTGGAAACGATGGCAAATACGTGCCAGACAACCGCGGCAGCTCCAACAACCAACCAGGAGTCACTGTCAGACCACCCGTCACTGGATCCGTATATTTGAACAACTTTAGGTAAGGTTTTTGTAAAATTATGCCGATGTTAGGCTTCGATAGAAGACCGATGGACGAAATGGTTTTTAAGCGATTATTGGTTAAGGGAATAGAAAACTCAATGATTGGGAAATGGGTTCATATCAATATCCAGTAGGAGTCCACTTTTGGACTATGACACTCCTCCTCCAAAGAGGGGTTTGTCATAATTTTTTTACTCAGCTTCCCGATTAAACTAGCGAGTTTAGGTTTTATCCAAACGCTCTGTCTTTGTTAAAATGTACAGTCCCTTTTTTGGCTCTTGTCATACCTCCGGGAAGAACAGGGGTGATAGTAAATTTATTCGATTCTACTGTATTCACTACATGGAAAATTAACACGATACTGGCATGTAAATGTCAAAATGTAGGTTAATCCCCTACATGGAGTTTTCTTCTCGAATATCGCTTAAATGCCATTTTGGTCTTCTGCAGCCATTTCTATGGTCTTTGTAAGATATTTTTAGTCTTAATAGACCAACTAAGAAAGAAGCTTAAAAATACTAATGCAAACATACCCAGCTTTTCTTGTGAATAACCCTTTGTCTTTTAGTGTATTTTTGTCCTTATTTAAACAATGGATTAATGATTGATTTAAGCGTTATCTGCAGCAGGTTCGATTCCTGCATAAAGCAATTAAGTCTTTAATTGTAGATCTTATTAATGGGAAAATGATCAGAATTGATTCTGACTATTTTTGAATACCTACAAGTAAGTACTCGTCGGTTCAGCATTTCATAAGTTAGACACAATCAACAAACAATACATACAGACAATCATACCTTCATACCCCTACATACATACCGGGCCCCTTACAATTATATTTTTCCAAAAAATAACACAGTATTACACTTTTCACCATTATAGCCGACGCACTCGTGCTGGATCTCAAAACTGAGTTCCTGCTGCGTGTGCGCACCCAAAACAACAGATGGCGTTATTTTAATACTCAATCGAGGGCAACACCTCCATGGCTATTTTTAGTATTATTTTTTCTATTCTTTACTGCTTTTGTAAGATAAACTAAAAAAAAATTGTCGACGAATTTATTACTTTCTATATTTTTTCTTTGTACTTAACTGTATAATTTAATGTAATGTACTTAATTTAGTTAAATAAATTTTAATACTCATTTTATTGTAAAATTGTTTTTTTATTAACTTCACTACATTTTAAATTAAGTTTGTAACTAACTGAATCTAGAAATTAGAAATGTATTGATAAGACAACTTAAGCAGAGCATCCTATTGGAGAAATCATTTTTAAAACACCACCTTTTTATCAACATCGCCTCTCTCTCTCTTTCTTTCTCTCTCCTCTCTCTTGCTGCAAAATTCTCAATTATATCTTCAAAATCATTCTTCATTACACCCATTTTATCTTTTCGACCAAAAATCTCTATCAATCTGACAACTCTTCCATTCCTGGACAACATCCAATTCTCATATGGAAAAAGAATTAGTATTTACTACCAATATGACAGTTAAATTAGTTTAATTAGTAAATCCATAAGTTGGAGATGATTACGAATTAGAGTAAGCATCGTATAAGCCGCGTGCAACTGCTGGCTGGCTGGCAGAGGAGAGGGCAGAGGTCAATGATGGAGAATCGATGACAACACTGCAGACTGGAGTACAACAGGCTACTCATCAATCATCACACCTCATTCTCATAATTAAACAATCATCAGCGATAACAGATGTCCAAATAACATACGTCCACAACCGTCTTCAATAGATGATAATGATGAAAATAAATCATTAAATACCATACATACAAACACTGTTTTATTACACCCAACACGACATACAAATAAATTTCATTACAACACCGAAGATTTTTTCATTCGCCCTTCACCTTTTACACAAAATCCAACTGTATTGTACATAACATAAGAAACAGAATAACATAATACTAAACCGCATGTCAATGGCAATGTTCATGACGCAAATCTCGCCCTTATTTCTATTGAATAAAGGCGTAATTGGTGTCAGAATGTCGCCATTGATAAGTTGGATTAAAAATTTCGTAACCACCCAATCATTGATACTCAAAACATCAACAGACACTAATCAGATTTCATAAAAACACACAAACAGACAAATTTTGCTCGACACCGAACGAATAACCTTGAAACGGGCAAAAAATGGCTTCCTCAAGTGGTACTTGAAGATGAAAAGTACAAAAAATGACCAAAAAACCCTGACATGGATACATTTTACTTAAAAACCGAACCGATTAGTAACTTAGATAACGCAACGTTGAATCCAAAACATCTCATTAATGTAACAACTTACGTCTTAATTAATATACTTGTCTTAAGTACCTTTAAGTACTCCCAACACTACAAGCCCCCACTTCTACCACCCAAAAACAAATAGCTAACCCAAAAATTTACTTCCAGAACTACACCCAAGCCTACTCTACCAGTTGGACCTAACCAAGTCACACAAGGTTTCTCCGCTACCACAGTAACCCCTGGATCTTTCGTCCAGAAGACCCAATACGGCCAGGGTTCCTATTCTCAAGGAGGTCAAGGTCAAGTTGTAATCCAAGGTCAAGGAAAATACGGAGTTGCCGGACAAGGTACTCAAGGTACGCATCTATTTTTGAAGAGATCTTAATAAAGCTACTTATGTTGTAAGACTTTTAAAGATGGGTTGATATGTGTTGACATTCTTAGAATGTCATTTTATTACATACATTTTAATGTATACTTATTATCTTGGCTTTGGATTTGGGTAAGGCTTCAACTGGGTTCTTAACAATTAGTCATCTGCTCGAGTTGGAGTTGGAGTTTCTTGCTCGTCCTTCTCCATTCGAATCTACACTTTGGAACGAGCACCTAGCTTCATTGACGAACAGACTGACGGAGTACTATTCAATTTTGACGTTACAAAGTAACCTTTATGACTTTGACTTCAAATTCAATACTTTTTTCAAACTTATTGTCTGTTTTTATAAATTTGGTATCTTCTTCTCTGTCGTTCGCTCTTGGCAGAGCGGTCGTGGTTACGTAGAGGCATCCACATCGGTGGTAGAGGCGGACACAGCTCTCCGCACGATCTCCCGCCATCTCTCCCTGTTGGTAGACTGTCTGGTGCAGTCAGATACACGCGTTCCTACTGCCGATTTGGTATAGCATTGTGTTTTGTGCGAATCGAAACCGCGACACTTTGAACAGCAGCTAGTTGCCCAGCTAATACGACAACTGTACAGTCAAAGTCTATTGAATTTCAAAAGCCTAAAAAATTTTGACCATGTAAGGTACCAAAATGTTTCCTCTTCCACAACCTTGTAAGTAGTTCATCTATTGCAATAGGAGATGACAAAATTGCCAAACACCGAACTCCTTTAGTTATTTGTAAGAATTTCGAAATCAAAACTTCTTGCAATGATACGAATGAATGAAATGATTCTTCGATACGAAACTTCACTAGCATACCGTCTAGTGTCGCAATTTCACTTTCAAAACATGCGTGATAAATGATCCAATTTCAAAATAAATCGTTTTGAACTTTGACATTTTTGGCGAATAGGGGTCAGGCCTATAGCCATATTGGACATACATTCCTAACTTCATACCAGCATCCATCGAATACCCAGTTTGGAAACACCCACTTTTACTTGGATGGCATTCTTAAATTTAAATAATCTAATGAGGCCTTAAGTTTTTGTGACGATATCTATGTAGTTCAGTCAATATTTATTTCGACGCTGTTTGACTAGATACTGTAGCTAAATTTAGTTAACACTGACTCGACTTCACATCATCAGCCTATTAGTGCACTGCTGAGCAAAGACCTGTTCTCACACGAAGAATGTTTGTGCATCACTATGGTGTAAATAGCTTCACTAGAGGACAGACTGACACACACAAAGTTGAACTTTTTGATATTTTGTTTGACGTTCAAAAGTGCCTGTAGGGGTCTATTTGAAATAAATGATTTGATTGACTTTATCATTAGAAACCCTTTCATTGGACCAACGAACAATGCTTCGCAGTAAGACTCTCATGATAATGAACCTATTTTGATTGACGGCCAATTCCATATTGAATATTAGCGACCCGCCTTGGCTTCTCACAGATGCAATGCTAATACTAAATTTCTCCATCCAATCCAAAAAAACCGCATCAAAATCCATTGCGTAGTTTTAAAGATTTAAGTATACATAGGGATGCAGGGACAGAGAAAGCGACTTTGTTTTATACTATGAAAATGAAGTGATGACTGACGTTTGAAAAGTGTATATTCAGTCCAGTGCCTTGAATGCTGAATGCACTAAGCTGTTGAGCGCTATGTGGATGTTTGAAAAGATCCTGTATCTAGTTTAAGATTGTGTCTGCTGCTAGGAGCAAATGTATGCTAGCCTATATTTTAAATAAATACTCATAATTTGACTTCCCACAGGTACTGGTGGCCAGTTCGCCCAAGGATCGTCTTTCACCCAAACCACATCTGGATTCGGTCAAGGTCAAACTGGAGGTAGTGGACAGGCTGTAGTCCAAGGTCAAGGTTTCGGAATCAGCCAAGGCGGTGGCCAAGTAATCCGCCAGGGCCAAGGCATCGGTGTCACTCAAGGATTTGGAACTGGAATCCGTCAGGGATCAGGCTCCGCTGTTGTTCAAGGAGGAGGTTTTGGAGTTAGCCAGGGTCAAGGACAAACCGTTTCCCAGGGACAGGGACAGGGTGTCATTCAAGGTGGAGGCCAAGTTGTATCCCAAGGACAAGGATTCGCCGTTTCACAAGGTCAAGGACAAGGAATATCTCAGGGCGTCGGAGTTGGTGTCATCCAAGGACAGGGTGTTGGTGTTAGCCGCGGCCAAGGATTCGCTGTAACTGGAGGTCAAGGACAGTACAGTACCCAAGGACAGGGATCGCTTGTGTCAAGAGGTCAAGGTCAAACCGTTAGCCAGGGCGTTGGATTTGGAGTAACCCAAGGACAGGGTACGGCTATCAGACAGGGACAAGGTTTTGGAGTATCTCAAGGACAAGGATTTGGAATAGCCCAAGGAGGTGGAGTCGGGGTTTCCCAAGGAGGTGGTGTTGGAGTTTCCCAAGGAAACGGCTATAGGGTATCCCAAGGCGGTGGTTTCGGAGTTAGCCAAGGCATTGGATTCGAAGTACAGCAAGGATCAGGCCAAGCCGTCTTCCAAGGTCAAGGTCAAAAGTTGGTCCAAGGTGGAGGATTCTCCGTGTCAAACGGTGGATATGGAGTTGAGAACGAGGTCGCCGAGTCTGTCCAGAGGGTCTACCTGCCAAGATACACAGGATCTGGAGAATGTGGAATATTAAACGTGAGTACCAACCTTTTTTGTATACAGTAGTTTTAGAAGCTGACAGCTTTCGGTAAATCTTTCAGACAAAATTGTAGCTCTCAGAAACAAATTAACTCATTGACTGACAATTTCTTAAAACTAACCATAAATGCTATCTTACATAATAATAGGTCTTTACCTATGAAATTGCCGTTCTGCAGTACCGGCCATTTCAAACCAAAATAGTTTTTGTTAGGCTAAAGCTAATTAATTTTGTTTAAAAACATGGGATTCTTTTTTCAAAAGTAGTCATTTGTTTATTGATTAGTGTTACATTTTCATCGCATTTCAAATCAAAACAATCGTTAAAATTTTTCATGCAAAACGGCAATTTCATAGATAAAGACCTATTATTATAAATGCGAAAGTTACGATGTTTGTATGTTTGTTACTCAATCACGCCAAAACGGCTGGACGGATCTGGAGGAAATTTGGCACAGGCATAGGCTACACTTCAAAATGTCAAACACGTCTTCCACACTTAAAAAAATATATAAACATACGAAAATAAACTTAAAAAAACAGAAGTCATCCGCGTATAACATTATAAGTATGCAATTTAATAACAATAAATCAATAATATTAAAATTAGTTATTTCGCAAATTAAAGGTTATTCTTTTAGTATTCAGACATTTTTATTATTATAATTTATTAGTACAACTTTATTTCGATTCAATATTTATTCGAATTAATATATATCTGTATATAATATATAAAAGAAAGTCGTGTTAGTAACTCCACTTATAACTCAAGAACGGCTGAACCGATTTGGCTAAGAACTGGGAAAAGGACATGGGATAGAATAGAGTAGGTAGGGTAGGTAGGGAAGGTAGGGTAGGTAGAGTTGGGTAGGTAGAGTAGGGTAGGTAGAGTGTTCATAAATTTGTGAAAGTAGGTTTGACTGTCTGTGTTTGACGTTGAAACGCTGCGTATTCACCCGACAACGGGCGTAGCATAAAAGGGAATTATGATAACGTTATCTCCAGCTCAAAGCAGGAGAGAGAACTGGGTGGTTTTTAGTCAGTAAGAGTCTGACAATCTCGCCGCACTTAAGGTGATAAAAGTCATTTGATAATTACCTCCCTCAAAAAAGGTTCTAATAAAACGAAATAGAAATCTATATCTATACTAATATTATAAAGAGGTAAAATTTGTAAGTTTGTATGTAGGGTGTTATCTTTGGAACCGCTGGTCAGATTACCAAAATTCTTTCACTGATAGATAGCTACAATGTTCCCGAGTGCTATAGGTTATAAAACATCACGCTACAGAGCAGTGGGTGGAACAGCGCGAGTGTATCTATAGCCAGTAAAAAAAATGGAAGTCACTTACGCTACATGTCAATTGGTTAATCATCGTATCTTTTTTAAAACCCTACAACCGACAAGGTTTTCTTACGCAACCATTAACCAGTTAACTATGTAGTAAACAGTTATAGTGATCAATGAGTGACATTTAGAAATATTTGTAAACGTCTCAACTAAAAGATTTCGTCACTTGAATTCTTAGTTAATTGTAAGAATTTAACTGAAATGTCATTTCGGGTGTTGAGTAAGCGCTTTGGTACGTACGTATGTAAGGCGTGAGAAAATTTGTTTGACCAAACTTCCTAAAACCTGGGTGTTAGTGATTTTTGTCTTACAAGCGGAGCGATTAAGCATTGAAAGAATTCGTACGTATAAACTTACAAATTTTACCTCTTTATAATATTAGTATAGGTAATAGATATAAATATTCCTCTTCACTCACTCCATCTATTAAAATAAAACTGCACTAAAATCCGTTGCGAAGTTTTAAACATTTAAGCGTACATAGGGATATAGGGACAGAGAAAGCGACTTTGTTTTATACTATGTAGTGAAGTTGAAATTCCTTTCGTAATCCTTTTCCTATTCATTTGGTCAGGCATATAATAATATTATATATAAGAAGTTTTATATAAAACTTATATAATATTATTTACAATGTCACAGAGGGTCAAATGGTGACCTCTTGGCCTCTACCTAAATACATATATATCTAGGTAATAATATATAACATAGTATTATGCATAACTTGTTTATGCCAGCGGCTTCGTCCGCAAAACAAGGCTAAAAATTAACCTATATGTTATTCCAGACTATAATCTATCTCTGTGCCAAATTACATTCAGATCCGTTCAGTAGTGTTTACGTGAGGGAGTAACAAACATCCATCCGTACTTACGGACTTTCGCGTTCATAATAATTAGTAGGATTTCCAAGAGACAAGCATAGATGTGTTTAGTTGATAGTTTTGACTATCTAATTAAGTTTCATTTTGTAAAAAGAAAGAGTCACAACATAGTATAAAACAAAGTCGCTTTCTCTGTCCCTATATCCCTATGTATGTTTAAATCTTTAAAACTACGCAACGGATTTTGATGCGGCTTTTTAATAGATAGAGTGATTGAAGAGGAAGGTTTATATGTATAATAACATCCATTACATAGTGGAGAAATTTAGTATCATCATTACATCAGTGCGAAATAGGGGGATAACGATCCGCGTTGATTAATAATACTGTCAGATTTGAAAATCTACCTCTGGACACCATACTTGGCTGTCATAATTACAACCTATCAACCAACAAAACAATCAACTTGACTTTGACTGCTCAATTGGTGCGGTGGCTAGGCAACTGGCTGCCGTGCAACGTGTCGCGGGTTCGATTCCCGCACGGAACAACTCTGTGTGATCCATAAAGTTGTTCCGGGTCTGGGTGTGATGTGTATGTAAAATTGTATGTTTGTAAACGCACCCACGACGCAGGAGAAAATCCTAGTGTAGGGCAACGTATCTCTATTAAATTACTTAAACCAACTTAACCCATATTTTCTTCGTCAACAGCCGCAAAAACCCTATGGAAACCGTAAGGATCTGGAGGTAGACTTCGCCGAGATCCCATGGCAAGCCATGGTGCTGTTGCAGACCAACAGAAGCCTTCTTTGTGGAGGAGTTATCACAAGACCTGATGTGGTCATCACTTCTGCCAGCTGCGTTGAAGGGTGAGAACTCTTAAATTATGGCTTAGGATGTTAAAGATGGGGGGGGGTCTTGCTCAGAGCAGGAGAAGGAATGGGCTGCTCTTTTTTATGGAAAAATCATCAAATGTCTTCTCCCGCCCAGGGTAGGCCGGGAGGGAGTGTCAGACTTTTACTGACTATAAAAACCTCCCGTTCCTTCTCCTGCTCTGGGCCGAGGTCTCGATGCCTCATTGCGCTTACCCCGCAACCCCGGCTGAACATCAGCCCTATAGGGCCCCGTTTGTCGTGGTCTATTGACTCATTGAGGCGCGCGGAACACTACGCGCCATACGCTCGGCTCTGGTTCTGGTCGGGCGGCGAGGTACCCTTACTCGCCGTCCGCAGATCCGTGGGACCGGTGATGATGATGATGATCATATGAACTCCAAGAAAACAAATTTTCCTACCATCAACCAAATCTCAAAAATAACACCTAAACTAACTCCACCATTTCTTCCACAGCCTGAAAGCGGAGAATGTGCTCATCAAAGGTGGAGAATGGAAGCTAGGAATCGACGAGGAGCCTCTCCCATTCCAGATTGTCCAGGTCAAAACCATCCTTCGTCACCCACTCTACAAATCTGGAAACTATGTCAACGATGCGGCTATTCTAGTTCTGTCCGAAAATTTGAGGCTGGCCAAAAACATTTGGCCTATTTGCCTTCCTTCATCCAAGGACACCCTAGACGCGTTCTACAATGGAGCTGGTGAATGCATTGTCACTGGTTGGGGCAAATCCGTTCTTCAAGGTAAGCTTTTCACTTTTTTTTATATACTTTTAAATTACTAAGACCTTTAACCAACCTATGGGAGAGCCATGCTTCGGCACGAATGGGTCGGCTCGACCTGAGTCATACCACGGCCTCACAGAAAACCGGCGTGAAATAACCACTGCGTTGTGTTTCGCCGTGTGAGTGAGGTAATCCCTCCTCAATCCCTAAATCTCCAAATCCCTAATCCCTAAAAGGTCGGCAACGCACTCGTAACTCCTCCGTTGCGAGTGTCCATGGGCGGCGCTGATTGCTTACCATCAGGTAATCCGTCTGCTCGTTTGCCGAGCTATTAGCAAAGAGGATATAACCACTAGAGAGCTTATTGGCCGTTTTCTTCGAAGAATCGTTATTGCGCTCGTGGTTATATACATTGCGCTAAGCAGAGGAGATTATTACTGTACCACCATTTTTAGTATCTTCTCCCGCCCAGGGTGGGGTGAGAGGGAATGTCAGACTCTTACTGACTAAAAAATGTGTTTGAAGTTTTAACTACTTACATGCATTTATGAATTTATACGCCATTCGATATTTTTGTGTACGTAAACACAAAAATATCACTTTTAGTTCGACTGTCTGTCTGTTTGTTCCGACTAATCTTTGGAATGGCTGGACTGATCTAAACCAGATTTCTATTGCTAAGTTACCTCTCACATTATGTTATTTTAACATTGTCTGGACTTGAAAAGAGACTGACCTCTGAGTTTGTTTCGGCATTTCTTCTCAGAGTAGTCAGATAGGAAACGCCGGCTTCATCTAGTTTTTCACATATAATTTGACGTGTAAAAGTGCCGTTTTATGGCCTATTTGCAAAAATAAATTCATTGTTTCATTAACTTAGACTACTTCCAATTCAGAAAAAATCGTTTCATTTTTATCTTGAAAGAATATAGCGAGTAATAATACAATTCTATGCGGACAAAGTCGCGGTTATAAGTTATTTAATATCTAAACAAAAAGTGCGTAATGATACATGTTACGTCGCTACTACACGCATTTACGACGTATTAAAAAAACATCTCCGTAACACATAACTAGTGACAATTGACCTATGAAACACTTAAAAACACAAAGTTCTAAAAACCCACATTGTGTAAAGACAAACATTGTGACAATTTTATGCATCAATATGTAATCTTTTAACACCCAACATAACTTGACACACATCTCAAAGTCATTTAAAACAAATTCGTTCTTAACTAAACAAAACTAGGGACCAACTAAAATTGGTCGATAATTCTCGTTTACAAATTCAATTTTGCTGTCGTTTACGTCTTTTGTCGTTTTGATTTCGACCTTATGGTAGTTTAAATAAGGAATTCTGTTATGTTAGTCGATGGTAAATAGATTTCACGTGTTATTTTGACATGAATTTGTGACAATGAATTTTAAAATTTCGTAAGCAGTTACTATTAATATGACATATTCGGACTAAAATTGGGAAATCCATTGATTTTAAATAATGAAAGAACATCTCAATCTAATCCACATATGAGGCCCCCCGCTGAATAAGTTTTTGGCCATATAAGTGTGGGAGAGCCATGCTTCGGCACGAATGGGCCGGCTCGACCGGAATGATACCACGGCCTCACAGAAAACCGGCGTCAAACAACCACAGCGTTGTGTTTCGCCGTGTGAGTGAGGTTACTTGAGGCCCAATCCTTCCCCTCCCCCAATCCCTAAATCTCCAAATCTCAAAAGGTCGGCAACGCACTCGTAACTCCTCTGTTGCGGGTGTCCATAGGCGGCGCTGATTGCTTACCATCAGGTAATCCGTCTGCTAGTTTGCCGACCGAATATTATGTAATTAAAAAGAAATCTTCAAACGAAATAATTGACTTTTAACCCCTATCGACATATAAATAAATAACTAAATCTCAATTTAATAAAAAATACACCAATCAGAATTGAGAATCTGTTTTTTAGGTTATGTTAAAATGTTATAATAAGCAGTTAATTTATTTTAGTATATTAATGTTTTTGCTTGACCTAACCTGACCTGTGTCCTCAATGGTTATGTAGACGAAATAACAACTGCCAATCGCGTAGTATTTTGTTTTTTTCCGATCGGTAAAAGTAAAATAAGAAATTATTTTTTTTCAAAATTCTAAACAGTAAACAAAAAGGAGGCCCAATCCCGCCCCTTCCCCTATCCCTTCCCGATCCTTATATCCGCAACCCCTATCCCCAAAAGGCCGGCGACTCACTCGTAACTCCTTTGGCGTTGCGGGTGTCCATGGGCGGCGCCGATTGCTATAGCACTCAGGAACATTGTAGCTCTCTATCTATCAGTGAAAGAATTTTAGCAATCCGACCAGCGGTTCCAAAGATTACCTCCTACATACAAACTTACAAACATACAAAATTACAAACTTACAAATTTTACATCTTTATAATATTAGTATTGCACGGTTGGCTCGGTGGCTGGGCAACTGGCTGCCGTGCGACGTGTCGCGGGTTCGATTCCCGCACGGAAAAACACTTTGTGTGATCCACAAATTGTTGTTTCGGGTCTGGGTGTGATGTGTATGTGAAATTGTATGTTTGTAAACGCACCCACGACACAGGAGAAAATTCTAGGGCAACGTGTGAAAAAAGCATAGAAAAAAAATAAAAAATAAGGCTATTTCAAACTGGAAGATTTCTATTAGAGGGGAAAATCATCTAATGACTTCTCCTGTCCAGGGTGGGGCGGGAGGGAGTGTCAGACTCTTACTGACTAAAAACCCCCCGTTCCTTCTCCTGCTCTAGGCCGAGGCCACGATACCTTATTACACTCCTATAAAGACATTTTAAACGCGAAAGTGTGTAAGTACGGATGTATGTTTGTTACTCTCTCACGTAAACACGACTGAACGGATCTGAATGTAATTGCGCACAGAGATAGATTATAGTCTGGAATTCAATGAATCAATGAATTTAGTTTTGCAAATAGGCCATAAAACAGCACTTTTACACGTCAAAATTATATGTAAAAAACTAGATGAAGCCGGCATTTCCTATCTGACTACTCTGAGAAGAAATGCCGAAACAAACTCAGAGGTCAGTCTCTTTTCAAGTCAAAAAATTACACATAGTTTTAATACTTTTTACCCTGGTTAGCGGGGGAAGCCGTAGGCACAAACTAGTATGACATAACTTAGACCGGATTTGACACCTAGGCTTTGAAATAAGCTAGAATTTCGTTACCTAGGAATTAAGGTCAAAATAAAGACGTCAGGTATTTAATCTTTTGGTTAACTTGTATATTATATAACGTATGAATAATCTGAGCGATGACAACAGACTAGAGAATACAATCATCACCAACGATATTCTTGTCGTGGGTTTCATATACCCAACATATGTGTGTGCATATTGACAGCGACTGATTCTGGACTTTTTTTGAAGTGACACATGATATTCATCACGGCACACCTAGTAAAAAAATAAAGTCGCTTTCTCTGTCCCTATATCGCTATGTACGCTTAAATCTTTAAAACTACGCAACGGATTTTGATGCGGCTTTTTTTAATAGATAGAGTTATTAAAGAGGAAGGTTTATATGTATAATAACATCAATTAAATAGTGGAGAAATATAGTATCAGCATTCTATAATAAGTCATAAAATAAATTGGTTAAAAGGTTGTTTTTGCTATGAAATAGAGAAACTAAATAGCGCCATCTACCGGGCTCTTTACGTACTTCTTTAGCGCACATCACAATTATACATATTCTGTCAAAATTACTAAGAAATAATCGACAAAAAATCTTACCCGGATATAATTAGAACCGTGTTTAATAATAATTAAGTTTTGTTTGCGATAATTAATTAACACTGAAATTGTTAATTGCTATTTACTAGGTGTTTCATTGTTATTGTTACCTATCTTACAATATTATTAACTAGCTTCTGCCCGCGGCTTCGAATGCGTACCTATAAAAGTAATTTATGTATTTATGTATATATAACTCGACTGAAATACGCAAATAAAGTATTATTTATAGCCTTACTAGCTTTTGTCCACGACTTTGTTCGCGTGGAATAGTGACTTCTGCAGATTTTTGGTTAAAAAACTATCCTATGTCCTTTCTCGAGTTCCAAACTATGTCTGTACCAAATTTCACACAAATCGGTTCAGTAGTTTAGGCGTGACGAAAAGACAGACAGACAAAGTTACTTTCGCATTTATAATATTAGTTTGGATAGCACTCGGGAACATTGTAGCTATCTATCAGTGTAAGAATTTTGGCAATCCGGCCAGCAGTTTCGTGGATTACCCCCTACATACGAGCTTACAAAAACCTCTTTATAATATTAATAGGTACTCATAGATTATTTTAAACTATGTTTGTCTGTTTTCGATTATACTCTTCACAAGCGGTTTAAAAGATTCAGGTTTATCTAAATACACTGTTGTCTGGTCATCACCTTATCATGATGATCCGAAGGGTACCTGGCACCGAAAAACCTGGCAAGTACCAATGTGACGTTTTTCGAGTGATATGTACTCTCTATGATTATTTAGACACCACTGACATATTACTATGGTGAAGGAAAACATCGTGAGGAAATCTGGAATTATAATTTCTAATTATAAGTTTGAAATCGCTTACCAGCCTTGAGCAAGCGTGGTGATTAATGCTCAAAACTTCTCGGTGTGAGAAGAGGCGTTTGCTCAGCAGTGGACACTTATAGACTGATGATGGGACTAAGTCGAAAAACCTTAAACGCTTTTTCGAAAGGAGAGATTCAAATTAAAATAAATTGAGTTCAATGTCACGTAACAACGATACGTAAAATCATTTTTATCGAGTTTTTATGTTGTAGTAATCTTTGATTTTTCAAATAAAAGTAAGGTTAATATTTAGTTCATTTAAAAGGTTAAACTTAATGTATAATTGTATTTTCAATGGTCGCTATGAACTTGTATATATGTTTTATTTTTTAAAAAAACTGTGCCTCACGTTAGGCTTATCCCCTGTGTCATGGGTGCGG